AGACCCTCACCACCGAGAGAATGGTGAGAAGAAGACCCAAGAGAGGCAAAGGCATGTCCCAACAGCAGCGTTATACACACCCGATTCCAGCATGACGGCTGCCAAACTCAGTGAGCACCAGCAGCAAAGGTCTTGGATTGAGGGAGACCTCGTCGCAGGCTCCCTACTTTTATGATCAGAAAGGTCGAGGCTTTCAGAGCTCACACTTAATGTTCCTTACCTGCATCTTCTCCCCTTCCGCCACGGACTTGGCCATCCCCCCAGAGGACCATGTACCTTGACTCACCGCAGCCTGCAGCCAAGCTTTGGGCACCGTTTGCACAGCTCCTCTGGTGTAGGCACCTTTCCCAGCACCAGCATGAAGCCCTTTGAATTTGCCCTTACCCATCCCAGCAAAGGAGCGTGCTGCATGGGACCGGAAAGTGCACAACACCACCGCTGGGAAACATAGGAAGGAAGCAGCTGTCCTGGTCAGCAGAACACAGTTACATTTGAAAAAACCCAGAAACTTCAAAGCCCTGCACACAAATTTCTCCAAGACCCAATATTCTCCAGCAGCTCAATGGCTTTGCCAGCACCTGCACATAGCTCTAGGGACCTCACAGAGAGCTCCTTCCTCACTCAGGCGCCTGCCAGCCTGACACCCCAGCCCGTTCCCCCCCGGCTCTTGCCCTTCAGCCAACAGGTTTGTCCCAGCACCCTCCAAACCCCCCAGGGCATTGTTATGCTTATTTTAACCCAGCAAGCTGTAGCCTCAAGCAGGAGGAGACCATGCTGCTTTGCTTTGCTCCAGCCAAGGGATCAGCCCCGCACGGTTCCCACTGTGGGGTCACCGAGCATCCTGGGAGTGCTGCAGTGAGCAATGCTCACCCAGTGCTGGCAGCTCCTTGTGCTTCCCCAGGCAAAGCCTCCCCATCCCCAAAACCTGTTGCAGGCAGTAACACCCCCACCCGTGGCGCTGCACCACAAGAAATCTCCAGGGAGGGCCGAGCGCTGTGACAGGGGTGTGATCTGCAAACGGGTACCCAACATCCAGAAGCACGAGGCGGCTTTGCCCTGTTGTGCACGTCCCACGCAGATTGGCTCTTCTTCTCTCCTTTCCAGGACAGCAGCTTTCACCTACCTCTACCTCTTCATCAAGGAAAAAACTTTCCACGGAAGAAAAAGTACCTCCTCCAAGGGAGCATGTTGGAAATGGGCAGGACACCCACTTTCCTGAGGGGATTTAACAGCTGCCTTTGCTGAGGGCTCTTATCACTGCTGCAAGGCAAATTTTTAGCCCTTATAGCTGCAGAGACAGACTTCAGGCCAGGAGCTGAATCCAAATGAGAGCAGTACTCCCATCCTGGGTATGAAAACAGACCGGGGCTGGATCAGTTTTAAGCACAATGGACTGAACGTAATTTTGACAAGTTAAACAGCAGCGTTGCTCTCACCACCACAGATGAAGATGTCGCCCTCTCTCCCCCCTCCGCAGAAAGGCATAGACATCAAACGAAGATGCAAACCCAAAGCAACTTCATGTGCCACCAACGTGCTCCGGGTCAAGCTGACCTCCCTGACCCAGTGGAGCCCAGAGAATCCTGGGCAGTGGGAAAACCTGCAGTCTGAGGATGAACACCCACCAGATTATTTCTTACCAAGAAGAAATTCCCGAGTCCAGGCAAACACCTTTTAATAATCAGCTTGTACAGAAAAGTCATGAGCGCTGGGAAGTCCTAGCGAAGAAAAGGGCCTTAGGAATACAAATCTGCAAAACAACTTTTAGCTAGATGGTTTTTAGATCTTAAACACTGATTTTTTTCCCATCAGTAGGAAATTAGCTCACCCTGCCTCTGAGGCTGGTTTTCCAGGTCAGGTTGTAATGAGCAGCCGCATCCCGAGTACCCGCTCTGTCTCACAAACAGATGCTAATTGCTGCAGAGGTTCAGGGCTAACGAGGGATTTCCAGATTGGGGGGGATGAAGCCCGTGGAAGCTGTACCCATGCGAGGAGGCCTCTTGAAGCAGGGCAGGGGACAGGGCCATCAGAGAAACCACGGTGCCGTATGGACACGCCAAGTAGAGATGTAATTCATGGCGAGCAGAGATTTAATTAGTGCCTTGTGATATGGCATACCCACACCACCAGAGGGAGAGCTGCTCAGCATTTCTCCTCCAGAACTGTGCTAATTAAAGATTTTTATCACGTAACATCATAGTACAGTATATACCATGCATGATGCTCCAGCCAAGCCCTCAGCTCACCAGCGTGCATCGCCCAAGTGCTGTGCCAAGACTGTGCCTGGCTAGCCCATAACTATTTGAAATAAAATCTCTATTTCTAGCTGAATGGCGCATAATTCCCAGTGCAAAACCCCTCCACCTTGCTGAATTGGCGCAGTGACCCTGCTCCCTAAACCCACAGGGGAGGGAGAGCAATTAAATTAGGTATCACTGTCCAGTAGCTTGGCAGGCAGCAGGCACTGAGGAGTTGTTGCAACCCTTCGGTTTTGTGGTCATTGAACAGGCAGCTGCTCCGCACAGCAGTCCCACGACAGGTCGGAAAGCTCTGGGATACTGGCAGGAGAGAGGCAACACAGGGGCCAGGCAGCAAGGATCGGCAGGGGTGATTTTTGCAAGCACAAACAGCTGCCCAACAGCCACAGAGGGCAGAGCACTAGGAGGCACGAGGAAAGCAGGAGCATGAGGAGGATGAACCATGGGAAGCTCACAGTTGTCAGAGCACTTTAAAATTACACACACACCCAAAAAATCCCGTAACAGTTCTGGGATTTTGCAGAGTTGCCTCAGCCTTTTAAACAGCAGGCAAGGAGCTTTTTTAAGAGCAGGTTTAAGGATGCATCTGCAAGGAGTGGTCCAGATGTGGCTGTTCCTGCCAGGAAGGCAGGGATTGAATTAGATCAGCGTTCTTCACCCATTTTAAAATCAACTTTCATGTCAGCTGTCTGGAAAAGCCCAGATGATCTTCGCTGGTGTGGCCACAGTGGTTTTCACTTACAGCCAGATGCAAAAATCAGACCAGGACAACATTTTGAGTCTGGCCCTTCACATGCTTCCAGGTGATTAGCTTGTGGACATGGGGATGTGCATATTTAAAAAGAAAATGCTGGTAGTTGGATCAGTGATGTGTGTGGAGCATCAGCCAGAGATGAGCTGCAGGCTCACTAACGCCACACCACATCCCCTCCAGACCTCACTCACGCAGATGAACTGGGCAGGACAGAGCACACCCCTGCAGGCTCAGCAGCTCAGGATAAAACCAGCTACTTGTAAGCACACAAAACATCTTGTGCACACTGCAAACCCATTAAAAGATCTGTCTACTAATGGGACATGAGCACAGCACACTGAGAAGAGCCAAGCCTTGTGCTTAAGAGCAAATTCATCCCCCCATCACAGTCTCCCCATCACAGTCTCCCCATCGTCTCCCACAGCTCAGGTGCCTGGAGGCAGCTGAGCAGAGACCTGCTGCCTCCCTCTCCTCCAGCCACCTCCTGATGGGCATCATCCTTCCCTCCAGTCACCATGGGCCTGTGAAGCGAAGAGTTAATTTCCTCAGACCTGAGGGAATAGGAAGGGTCAACAGTATTTGAATCAATCATTTATTAAACAGTCACACATGTTTAGTTCATGATTGTCAGGTAACCCCCCTCCTCAAACACTGCATATGACAAAGAGCACTGAGGATGGTTGAAAATTCAGTACAGCTCACAAATTTCCTTGCTAAAGGAGAACTGCTCCCTGGTAATCCCAAATACTCTCCCTGTTCCATTTAAACCACCCCAATTTTAACCATGCTTCTGTCATCTCCTGCTTTTCCAGGTATCTTGTACTTCAAACCACCACAACATTTACAACACTATGAGTAAAGAAAGAAAAATTACCTTTGTCATCAAAGAAAAATTACCTTTGTCATTCCCTCCTTCACGATTCATTATAGCCTTCCTGCCATCTCAAATTCGAGCATCATTCCCCTTGCTAAAGGCCAGGGCACGGCTCTGCCTCTGGCAACACCTTAGCTCTTGATGCTTTCAGCTCCCACCTTCCCAGCCCACTCTCCACAATAAACCAATTCCGGTTTCAATCTTCCTCTCCTTCACCAGCAGTCAGCTTGTTCCTCCAAAGCTGCCCCCTCCTTTTCCCCTTCCTCTCTTCGTACACAAATCCACCCTTAAAACACACCTTGCTTCTTAACTTACCAAAATACATTATTCAGGACAGAGACCAGCAAAATTTAGGTGACAATGATATGGAGCAATTAAATATGTAACCATGTGTGGGACCCAACACTAGAGTGTGCTGTGTAGGAAATAACCTCGCACTGCGGATGATGGGCTTAATAACGCAGCAGGATCTCTTATCCCTAGAGACCGTCAGAAACACTGAAGAACTGGATGAGTCATTTTTTGGCTCCTGGAAAAGCATGAAGCTTCCTCAGAAATCCTTGGTGATAGGTGGAGAGCTAAGCAGCAAACACTGAGTTTTAAAGAAAGCAGAAAATTAAAAAAGCAGAAGAAAAGCAGCAAGGAGAGAATGACATCAGATATTCCTCTGTGTGGCTTAGTGGAGCGTCAGAAAAGAAGAGATTCACAAAGACAGGATATAAACCAAACCCGCTTTATTCTCACCCTGAATTTGTTTGTTTGAAGCATCACAGTAATTAGGTTGTGCGTTTCACCTGCAAGCCTGGCTGGGGCTGGAAAGACTGCAGAGAGATGCTCAGGACAAAGCAACAACAAAAACCCCTGAGCTCTCGGTGACTTCCCAAGAAGTCACTAAGAGAAGCAAACAAGGCACAGACCTTCAGTGACTCTGTCCAAAACCCCAGGCAAGTCGGTGCCCAAGTCAGAATCACAGCTCGAGGTATTTCTGCCTTTTGACTCTGCGTCTGACAGACAGGCTTAACTTAGATAAGAAAATCAGAAGCATTTTTATCTTTGCGCTTTTTTTAGAAAAATGTTATTTTTTTTATTTTGACAAGAAGAATAAAATTTAGAAACATCTCGACATACAGAACTACAAAAAAAAAAATCACCTAGTTAATTTACTAAAGGGTAAAAATACAGTACAGACAAGACTCAAACATCCCCTAAGTTTATACAAAAGCCAGACAGTAATAAATTGCATTAAAAATACATCAAGCATTACCTGATTGATACGACATTGGCATCTGCCCCATTATTAAAAGGCACAAAAGGCTGAGCAATGAAAGTGTTCAGCATCCCATCCATTATTGTCAGTAAATTGATTGAGATTAGCATAAAAAATTTACTAAACACATACTTAATATTCACCACGTAGATCAGTAAGAAGTCTTTTTTGGAAGGAGTAAGAAAATAAAGTTGGAAAGGACAAACATTTAAATATGACATCCCAAGACGCAAAGGCTCTTCCTAGAAATTTACCTTCAAATCTTCCCAAAATAGTTTTCCCGGCTGCGTATCACTCAGTAATCACCAAAAAAAAGATTTAGTTATCCACAATGCACCTTCCAGCAGGATCGCGATACCGCAGCAGCATCGTCGGCAGCACGGAGCCTTTCTGGTACGTCTTTGGTTGCAGACACACCGAGAGCGACGAGGCTAGGGCGGTATCGGCGCGCTGCCGACCCGCCACCGGTCTGCTGGCCGATTCATTACACCCACAGTCTGTAATACTGCAGAAGCCAGCACAAATCAGAACAGGTGGATTTGCTTTTTTTTTTTTTAACTATATTTGAGGTTTCCAAAGTCACCCCGGGTAACACATGCAGCAGCCGGCTCCAGCAAACTCGGGGGCAGATCTCTGCCGTGCTTCTTCAAACAGTCTTTCACTCAGCTTGTGCTCGGTGATGATATCTTCCACCCGAGTTATGTAAAGCAAAGATAACAACACTCCCAGGAACTGTGAAAGGAAGGGGCATCTCTAGTCAGAGATCAAATACTGCTTATCTAACACTTCTTGCAGCAGTTTTTACAAATTATGTATCCATATGCCAGATATATGGGCAGGTATGCGATATATATACAGAGAGAATCTCACATTGTTATTCTTCTTTGCATATAGGGGTATAAGTGGATTATTTTTGTGAAGAGCTAATACAGCTAATTACCACCCCTGTGCCTTGGAGCAAAGTCTTGGTGGACGCAACTAGGGGGAGGAGAGGACTCAAAAAAACCCCTAAGCAAACCAAATTAACCAACCAAACCCTGCAATATATCACAGTAATGCTACTAAAACACCAGAATGCCACCTCAGCTTATCAGTTACGTTAAATTTAAGTAAAAAATGGTAATTATAGTCAAATGGGATATCGCATACCACAGCAACAAATCAGATACTCCCTTTAATGGATAACGCACTGGCCCTTCTTACCTGGGGTAGCAATATGCCAAGCAGCACGCCAGCCATGATGCTGTAGTTGTCCAAAAACCAAATAAGCACTGCATTCGTGCACCCACGGACATATATAACACGCTGAACACTCAAGCGCTGCAAAATAAAGAGCAGACATTCAAATAGGCAGTTGCACTGGCGTATGATACAGTAACACATGATAATTCAAATTTCAGGGAGGCAAATTTGGTCCTCCTTCCCATCTCTTTAAACCCACTGAATTTGATACAGATCTCATCACTAACTCTTCCACCTGTTTTTTGGTTGTTCCATGCCTGAACAAGTTATTTTATTTTTTTTAAATCTTTGTTTGCAACTACTTTTCTAAATGAAATGCATCCGATTCTCATTTTAGACCACTTGGAAAGTACAGAAGTCTCTCTTCAGCTTTCATCTCTGCTTCCAAGTTGAAAGTACAGCAGTAGAAAAATATAAATTGCGGACCAAGTGCTTTGCAATAGACTCTAAAAAGGGCAGGAACAAGAGGATTTCAGATTCAGTCCTGCAAGCTGCACCGTGACCCCAACCCATAATATAGAAAGCACTTGAGGCTGCAAAGGGTCCTAAGCAGATGAATGGAGTAAAGTTTAGCATATGCTTAAGTGCTTTGGGCACTAAAGCCAGGCTGGAGCGTTTAGGTGATTAAGCCATAAATCAATGAATCTAAATGAAGACAGGTCATATGTAAAGATAACCGGTAATCCCAAAAACCAACAACTGAAGCTGGCATTGTGCGCCAAGTGCCGCAAATGAGCTGGGGAAAGGGGCTTTTTCAGACCAACCCCCTGCACCAGCACTCCAAAGCTAGGAGCAGAGAACCCACCACAGATCCAATTACTGATTTCCCTTCTTAATCACTCTGCAATTAGTGCCTTGAGCCGGCAGTCTCTACTCTGGAGTCACTGGGGATATTCCCAAGAGGGAAGACTGAAGAAGGAGGAGGCCCCATCCCACTCCTGGAGGGAGGAGAGGGCTGCCAACACAACCTGGGAAGTCCCACTCCTCTTCCAGGAATAACTATTACAGGCTCAAAAATAAAACACCCACTACTGGGATATAAAATACTTAGAAACAGCTAAGTTGGCTTTTCCAAAACTGATTTTACTCAGTGAGAAACTTTGGCTTTTAAGTATTAAAAGCTTTCCCCAACTGAAGTCACTACTTAAAAGTATGAAAGCAGTTTTCTTTGCATTAATTGCGGAATTAGCATAAGGGGGATGAGCTTTGGGAAGACGTGCTTCATGCACGTCAAACAAGGAATCGTGGAAGACACAAGAAAGGGAAGGTACCATAATCAAACAAGATTAGTTTTTTTAATATACGAAAGTTATTCCAGATAAAATAACTATGATTGCTGACTTCACTGTCTGGTAGATTTAAGTATGCAGAAGACAATTTTATAACTGACCAAAAAAATGCAGAGAAGCACCACCCTTTGCCACGACAAGGTGGACACTGGTTACGTTACCTCTTTGTCAATGGTTTTATATCCGCACATAGTGTTGATAGTGTCTGTCTGAAAAGAAAACAACAAATATAAACTATAGCAGAAAACAAAAAACACAAAAAAATGTTTTTACTCTTCTTGTGTTCACCCAGCTCATATAAAAGCAACAAGAGGGTTACTTCCCAGCCCAACACTGGTTTCTTCCAGCAGCCCCAGGGTCAGATTTAGACAGAGCTCTACATGATTTTAGAGAAGTCAGTATTGCCAGTGTGTCATGACACGAGACATTTGAACTGTATCTATCCAGCAAAACCAGCATGGCATCAGAAAACAAAGCTAGCTACAACAGAGCTGTAAGCCACAGCTGTTTCCACAGAACAAACAGCTGGCTTTAATTTTAAGGCCTTAATAACTTAACACATCTTATTAAGAAAACCAGGGGTTAACATGTCCATCATACCACCACGATGAGAAATTTAAGCTCAGAATTATCTAAACCCCAAATAACGTCCAATACTATGTATGCTTACATGAACATTTTACAAGACCAAATTTATTATAATATATTTTTATATATCATTACATATATGAATATAAAATTCATATCTTTTAAAAAAGACTGAATGCTTGCATTCATCACAGATTACTAACGCATTTTCTGTAGCTATTTCATATTTTGCTCACATCCCGAAGCTCTACCTGGCCTGGCAAAGCTAACATGAAAATACTGTCCTTCACTTACAAATCAGCCAATGTAAAGCCCGCTGACATCAAAGGAAGCAGTGTACAAAACCAAAGACACAGAGGAAAATGAGAATACACAAATGAGGGAAATAAGGCAGAGCAAACTCTACCGTATTGATATGCCCTCCCTCAAAATTAAGACAAGATATAGAGATGAGATTTCTAAATGCTGGTGGCCTCTAAGTGGTAGGCTGAGGTTCCCAGGTCACCTCCCCAAGAAGGAAGAAGGATGTTTGCAAAAGATAGAAGAAAGCTGGATGTTACAAAATGGCAGAAACACCAGCCAGGGTCAAGTTTTTTAAGATCCCAAAAAGCCAGGCTCTCACCTTGAACACACAAGTATCTGACAAACAAGGTTCAGCGCGTTCCTAAAAAAAGAACCCTGACTATTTCACAGGTCTGTTCCAAAAACGTGAGGAGTACCCATCTGTCAACCACAGGTAATAAATACCTTGGAAGTCAAGGTTTGCAATACTAGGCATCAGCGTGTTGCTGTGTCTGCTGTGAGTGATTTCACATTTACAAAACGCTTAAGCCTAACAGACAAACACGTGGACATCTGCAAAATATGTGACAACCAGAACACAGTCACATCATTTAATTTTAAACACAGGATTTGCTAACAGGACATCATGGCACAAGAAAACATACACAACAGAGATAAATGCATTAGAAACAGAGGTTTATAGGCACTTGGGGACTAATTTTTATCTGCTACACTAGTGTAAGTCTTTAATAAATACTTTGACTTAAAAATAGTCCCTTCAGAGCCCCCCCCAGTATGAGCCTGGCTCGTCTTAGCACAGGGCTTTTTAAGAGGATCAGAATCCAACCTCCGACATTAAGGGGAGTTTTCCATGACTACAAAGTGAATGAGTAATCACAAGCCATATCTGTAGTTTTCCAGGACAGAAACCAGCCTGTATTTGGAAGCATTTGTCAAAAATAGAAGAGGTATGCATCTTCTGGTTGGTTTTTTTTTTTTTTCTTAAGGCAGCCAGCCATACAGCCACGTGTTAGTGTCATCCTGCCCAATATGCGTCCGTGCCGCTTGGACTTTACAAGGCACATCGATGGCATCCTGGGGCGGCAAAGCCACAAGCCCTAACGTACTGCAGCGTCTTGCTGAACAGCCTACCCTTAAATAAGAAGGTTGCTTGTTATTTTGGGGCTTCTCTCCACCTTGCAATTAACTTCACTGAGCTTAATTCTTCACAGGCTACCTTTAGGCTGCAAGTAGTCTCATCCCCACCTTCCCAGTTGCCAGTGAAGCACATGGAGAATATACTCCCTGTTTTCCTCGGAGAAGTTCTTATTTTAGTGCTTTCCTGCCAGACAGATTGTATTTGAAATCCTCAACGTGTTTGATTATTTGTGCCATGGCTGAAAAGGCACCTGGCATTGTTAGTCACTGGTTATTGCAGCGCTTCACCTTCACAGTACTGCTGTATTTCCACACACATGGACTAACCTTTTAAAGCAAGACTTCAACAGAGAAATGAGAGATACAGAAAAACAAGCAGTATTTTGAATGACCCATAAAAAGCCAGATTGCTCTTTATTAGCCAGCTCTATCTTCCCCTGCCATCAGCTGAGGGCAAAATCCTGAGCTCTTCTGCTCTGTGCTGCTGTGGATCAGCACATACTATTTTCATATACACGGCTTGCTTATTCTCAAACATCTAAGACTTAAAACATAACTGTTTAGCTTTGGTTTCTGAGAATAAATCAAAGCTCAGCACAGCTTTAAACAGACTCCTTCTCATACACAAAAAATGTGTAAGCATATGTAGTAACCACCTTCACCTTATACGCATTTCTCAGCAACAGCCAGCAGGATTACTAGCACAATTATTACATTTTTTTCCCTTTTTTTTTTTTAATTAAACACCCATCCTTAAGGCAGACCTTGAAAAGGCAGCACATAACAGGCACCAGTAGGCTATCCATCATGAGCTCTACTCCGTCTGCACTTACACATACTCAATTTCTCTGTCTTGTGTTCAGACCAAAGACCAAAACCCAGTGAGGCAGGGATTGCCCATACTGGTTTTAAGTTAAGGAATAGTTATCAAATTCAGCATTACATCCATCCCTCAAATGAAGAACGATGAATTAAAACTGCTAAAATTTATATAAAACACAAGGTCCATTTATATGGAACTTAACGCCTGCTCCTAGCACTGCCAGCACCAGTTAATACCAGTTCATCGTAGACTGGGAAACTGGTCCAGACTCCAGCTGACAGGGTGCCCTTCCAGGGAGGATTTTACAAGGTGGCAAGGCGGGCAGTTTTCAAGGATGGGTTACGGTAGAGCAGCAGCTGCTGTCTAGACCTGCACCCACAAGGACGCACTGACCCTAAGGTCATTTGCCCACATTTCTGGCTTTTTCTGGATGACGGGGTCATTCTGTTTGGGTTTTAATTCATGCAGCAGCTGGTGCACATCACTCCAACCCCCACCCACAGAAGCAATTGGGGCCCAGGCTTCCCAGCAAAGCTGGAGCAGCCAAACCTTGGGGAAAACACCAGCAAAACTTAATTTTAAGCAGCCCTGGTCCAGGTGAGCCATGAGGTTAGAGGAGCTCCCAAGATCCCTTCTGCGTTTCTAGGACTGCGTAGCGGGACAGTAACACGGACCAGAGCCAACACATCTAATTCATTATTTTCTCCTTTTCAAGCTGTCAAGACCCACAGATCCATAGCTCCCGTTTTCAGGAGGGACCCATTTTCCTTCGCTTCTTCCCCCAGACTTTCTAAAGGAAGTACCTTTCCAAGCAAATGCCGGTGACCTGGCAGAGAGCAGCGATGCCAAGAAGCCGGGACTTGGACTTACCTTATTTGTGACGCAGCAAGTGTATGGCACCCCGCAGGCCAGCGGTCCTGGCGCCGCACAGTTATGGTACACGTTTTGTGACCAATCTTTATAATCTTCCCCACCACAGCACTTAAACTGGAAAAAACGACACAAAAGGCAAAGGAAAAAAAAATTCATATCTTAAACAGAAACTCTTCTAATAACTAGAAAACAAAGTAAGAATAAAGCAATTTTAAGAGCACTGAGCTACCCAGCAATTCTGTCATTTTATCAGCAAGGCACATATGAATGTATACGATAGACACAACTGAAAAGAATTAAAGATATAAGTAGCATTCCTTTGTCACTCATCGAGCTACTACCCAGGGTGCCAGAGCAAAATATTCAGTGCTAAGTTCCACCTCCCATCTTTTCCGAGCTGAAAAATAATCTTTTCAGGTCTGGACATCATTAAGCAATGTTTTTACATTCACTCCATCTCGAGCTGTAATATACTTCAATTTTTTTTTTTTAAGGATTGCAACTACATTTCTAAATGAGTCTAAAAGACGAAAGTGTTGCTATAAGGCATAAAAAAAAAGTCTCACCAAAACATTTTGGGTGTGATTTAGTAGAACTGAGATCTGACAAATACTGTAAGTTTACACTGACTTAGTACAAATATTCGTTTTACATTTTGAACGGGGAAAAGCAGCAGTTTATTTAATCACTAAAATGTATATTCGCTGTACATGCACATAATTATGGGCAGTGCATGGAAACTTTAAAGCATTATGAAGTCTAATGACAAAATTTCCTCAGGATGGTTGGCTTTTGACAGACTTTCCATGCTAACTCTGTTTTTCAAAGCAGGCTGCCATCTCCATAACAATGTCATAAAATATACATATCACTTCCCAAGTTAGTTTTTTTTTTTTTTAATCATTATTTGGCATGGGCCCTGACATCACATTTCTGAACATTTTCTGCTTCTTCTATAGTCTCTGAACTGTATGGCAGAACTCTTCAATAATCCAATACATTTCAACACACCAGCCTTAAAAAAAAAAAAAAAAAAAAAAAGGCTGTGAGTCAACTACACGTGCCATTAAGTAATGCTCAGCTGGGCTCAACACAATTTCTGAATTTTAATTACAGGTATATATGCTTCTTTTGAATAACCATCTTGTTAAAGAGCTTGCCATGTGCCCTCGAGTGAAAATACAACGGCCAAGGTTCAAACAGCCTAATTGCCACCTGATTTCTCTTTGTGTGGTGCCTCCTGTTAATGAGATGCTTTTGAATGTCTTGGACCAGCCAGCAGAAACACTTCACGTAAGAACTTGGGTGGAATTCAGGCTGAATTTGTCTGAATCCAGCTGTGGGGCTCGTATAAGCCTAAATGGTTGCAGGATCTGGCCTTGAGCATCCAAATCACGCCTACCAAGGCAAAAGCTGCATTTTGTCCCCACTTCTTGCAGTGATTTAGGGGGCTTCAAATGCCAGCTGGGATGCTGGAGGAGCCCTGCCCACAGCGACGCCATTATAGATGATGCATGAGATCTCATCCCCCTTGTCAGTAAGAATTTGATTATCACATCACTGGAAAAACTCAAAGCTGTTGCCGAGGACCTACCACACCTCAGCACTGAAGTAGTCCCAGAAAAAAAAACCCAAAACAAAAAAACAAACAAACCTGCTTTTGAACAGAATCCATGATGTTCTTGAAGTCTAAGTCATCGTAGTAATTCTCAATTCCTCTTCTTATATTATCATTCAAAAAGCTGATTGTCTAGAAGGCAGAAGTAAAACAAGATTCAAAACACTGAAACAAAATTAAAAGAACAGGTTAAAGTGACAAGTGTAATTGATGAGCACAAGAGGAAAGGCTTTTTTTTTTTTCCTTTTAATAAAAAAAACCAAATACCAGCTAAAAATCAATCATAGCACAGTCCTGCAGGGACTGACCATCCATTCTCTTTTAAGGAAGCGGCCTCGCTGCTGGTTTTGTGCTGAGAAGTGCTAACAGTGCAACACCTCTCCAGCAAGGTCCTGCTTCTCTGAGACTCTCCAAGCATCTACCAGAGATGGTCTCATTGTCCTCCAGGCTGAGAATGGGAAGGCAGGATCCTTCCCACTGGGCACTGGGGATCCCCGGCATCTTGTGGGTGACAGAACGGCAGGTTTGGGTGGCGGGTCTTGGCACCATGGTCTGCACCACTCCCTGGGCGACAAGAGCTGACTGTCTCCCTGCTCACCATCTTCCATTAATTTTATTTTCACCATTTTATTTTCCAAGGAGTCCATAATAGCCAGATAATGAGCTTTATTCCACCTTAAGCAGAAAAAAAGTGGAAAAGATCTCATATCTGTATGTTTTATAGTCATGGTTTTGAGAAATATGGCAGTGGAGCAGTGGCAGATATAAAACAGTATCTCCTCAGCTTGGCATATTAGAAATTAAATCAACAAAACACTTTTAAAGTTCAGATGATGGGGGGGGGGGGGGAAAGTATTTAGTTTTCAACATCCAGCACCTCATAGCATAGCAAAAATTGAGATTAAACATAACTAGAATGTAACAACTTTCCTTTCAACACAGCTGCTAAAATGATCAAAGCTAAATCCTTGCATGTCAGAAAGAAACCTGAAATACACCTACTAATTTTCTCAGTATTACGAACTGCAACATTTAAAAACAAAACAGAACAAAAACTATTATCACATCAATGATTAGAAATAAGAAGGGATTTTGCAGGACTATCCTAACTGGCCAAAACAAACAGCAGCAAACACCAACTACTCTCATGCTGCCTGTATCACCTCACTTAGACTCGACAGATTTGAGAAGGAAACAGAGAAAGAAATGGAAAAAAACCCAATGAGACATGCAAACCAATCAGCATTTAAATAGAGGCTATTACCCTAAGCTTTTATTAAATACTTCCTTCTCCTCCCCATACTAACCTGAACTTCTCCATTAACTTCATAAAACAAGCAAAGAAACCTGTCCCTGAGAGTAGCTGTCCTGCTCAGACACCCAATACACGTGTCGGGAAAACGCTTACTGCACAAAAACCCCAACAGTACATTTTCTTTGTCTGAAAGTCAACAGCAATTCTTCCTCTCCCTCTCAGCAAATACCATCTTTGGCATTTACTTAATTTTCTGTCAACCAAATTCTCTGCATCCCATGATGCCCACACTCCTACAGTGGGCTGGCTGATCCGCTCCCTGTGTGGCGCTCCCACCACAATTCAGAATAAATCCTTGCACGGGGCCAAGGCGCAAGGCTACAGCAACAGCTAATGACAGCTCTTAGAAACGAATGTAACTCATCCTCTGCTCTCAAATCAAGTTCACGACTCCGGTTGGGCACGGAGTAAGAAGACACTAGCTAGAGAGAACATAATACTGCTTCAAAATAACAATGACAGTATTTTTCAAAAAAATCTTTTTTAAAGCTCTTTTTTTTTTTTTTCTACTAACATAGGTAACATAGTACGTATGACTTCTTTTTGTGGAAATGAGATTGGTAGGATTGGGGTGGGGCGGGAAGAGGTCTTATTATTCAGCATCTCCTTTTAATGCTCATATTTTTCCACATTTGAAAGAATAAAATCAAAGCATAGAAATCTAGTACTTGCCATGGTGAACACATTTATGTTTTAAAACATTTCTAACACCAAAAAAAAAAAAAGTCTGCTGCTTTCTGTTTAGAAAAATTAAGGTTTTTATATAATTATAGCATGCTTGTAAATGATGGGGTCTCCTACGGAAATTAGTTATGTTGCTTATGGATGTGGGCAGGGAAGAGCTGTCTCTTACATATGGTAAAACATTTTGGCCACTAAAAAATAACAAAGTCTCCAAATCCAGCTGGAAACTTTCCAAATCAGCCATCTGAGACCCAGAAGGCAAACGAGAAGAAAGCACTTTGTAATACATGAAGAGCTAGAAACTCGTTTTGCCTGTATTGCGCGTTCTTAGTTACCAGATTTTCTCCAAATTCTTTAATCTGGAATCCGTCTCCAGAACAGGTGGCCAATCCCACCCATCCCCGAACCTGAAAGGCCCTGAAAAGCCTGGACTTGCCTTCAGACTTCCATCAATTAGTGCTCAGGTGACAATTTTAATGCCTTTTATTTGCTCAGTAGCATAGCTGTAACATCATGGATTGTAAGTAACGTTCTTGGTGATCAAAACCTAAATGCAAGCGGCTCACCTGGTTTCTGAAGATCAGGGCCACCACTCCACCAGTCAGCTCAATCAGCAAGCAGATACCAAGAATGTACATGAACTGCAGAAAAAATAATTGCAAGCGAGTCCTTAAACAGAACAAACCCCAATTACTCTTTCAATTAGTGTCCTTAAGTCCGTAACATTCAATTGCCAACATACTTGGCTTTCTGTATATGAGATGTCATTTTCAAGAAAGATAAAAAAATTATGGTTTTGTTCTTATAAAACTGTTCATGTCACAAGAAAGCCTTTTTTCCTCACTTGAGTCATTCTGGATTTTGCCCAATTGGCAAACACGTTATTTTTCTGCTTTGAATGGACTCAAAACCAATAGATGCGTTTACCATGCCAAGATACTTCTCTCCATAACAGCATCCCAGAGAAGCATATTAATGGACTGCTACAAACCACATCGAACTTTATGTTTTTTATGCTTCCTACAAAAACAGTACTTACCTGTTAGCTTTCATTTCTTGGGTAAAGCAGTGCTTTAAGATAATCCAAAACACCTGCTACTAAATTGCCAGTGTTAAATCAAAGCAAAATTCTGGGCTTGGTACCTTTTAGTGTGTTGCTTCAGAAGAGGGAACTGAGCAGTACTACATCACCGAGCCAGCTGAGCGCAGAGGCTGCATGATGGGCACTAACAGGGCACTTACTATGCTCAGTGGTAAGAAAAATTATAGCTGCTTGCTCTCAATTTATTTATTCATCTGTGTGTGTATATATATGTGCTCACTCACACACAACCACAACATATGCATCTGTGACTACTTATCAAAGTGCTTGCAAAATATGAATATGATGAAGAAATCCATAGCAACACCATGAGATAGCTGTGACATGCCAGTCCTTGAAATGTTTTTCCAACCCAAAGGATTGTTTAGGTATAAAAGATGGCTGCTACATGAATTTAGGTCTGCTTCTTAATGGTGAACTTTGTCAGGAAGGAAGTTTTAGGATCTCTCATCTGAAAATAATCTCTAATGCTCTGACCCAAAAGCTCGTTTAATTTCTGTGCTTTCAGTACCCAGTATCAGTGTCACAAACTCACCAGACAGATCTCTTTTCTCCTGCTAAATCTGGAATCAGCCTGAGAAGCAGACATCAGGGACTTTCTTCATTTAAATACCCTACCGGGTTTGCTACCACAACGGGAACAGAAAATGTCGTCTCGGCATCAGACAAGGACACACCACCATGCTCAGAGTGAAAGAAGCCACCACCGCCTAAGGACAGACTCTCAGTAAAATTCCAGCCTAATTTCAAAATCCACGGTTACCTCTTGCTTTGGCCTATGTAACATACCACGTATTTACCATTTCTTCACATTGAACTGACGTGAAGGTGAAAATTATGTTTTCGCGCTTTACTGTTTATTAGTCATGTGTGCAACTTCCATTTGCAACCACAGCGTTATACAGGAATTTCCCTAAAATTTCCCCTTTCAGAGACACTGGACAGAAAACCCGTGCCCCTTTCATTTCCCCCTTAGGGCCCTTCTCTCAAAGCCCTGCGGTGCTATACAGCTAACGTCATAACACACCTCTCTCCATCTGCCCCCCTACACTCCACTCCCCAGCCAAAGGCAGACAGACTCCAGCCACCACCAGCCTGACGGACGACAGCCCGACCTGGGGTTTCTTTCTCTAGCGGCTTCCTCTGGGTTGAAACAAGAAGTGTTTGGAGAACCATAAGAGACTGCAGCTCATCTCTGCACTTAACGTCCCATCAAGCAGGTTCACAGCTTTAGGAAATCCCCCTGTACTGACGGGGGGAGCTGCAGCCAGCTTTTGCCCTTTCCTTCGGCCAAGGGGCAGCACTATTTCCTCTTCTCCAACACTGTTCCCCTAAGCAGGGCATGTGCCTATGCTATGGCCAGACCAGAGAAAAAGCAGGCACTGTGGTGCCAGGCTAGCGTCAAATGG